CATGAACAGATTTCTGAAAAGAAAATAACACCTTTTCAAGAAGAGCCTCAGGCAGGTTTTTCAGGAGGTATTCCAGAAGGCATTATTATAATTGGAGATAACAGCTCCATGAGTGCTACTAAGATCTTCTAGTGGGATAAGATGTGAAGGTGGAAGACAGTGATATTGATGATCCAGACCCTGTGTAGACATAGACTAATGTGTGTTTGTATCTTAGTTATTAACAAAAAAAAGGTTAAGTTAAAAAAAAGCAAAAAATTTTAAATAAAGTTATAGAATAAAGATATATAAAAAGAAAATATCGTTGTACAGTTGTGCAATTTGTGTTTTAAGCTAAGTGTTATTACAAATCAAAAAATCTCTTTAAATTTAAAAGCTTAAGGTAAAAAAGTTATAGTAAACTAAGAATAATTTATATTGAAGAAAGAAAAATATTTTTATACATTTAGTGTAGCCTATGAGAGCTTTAACATCTTGCTGCCCCCACCATAAAGTGCAGAAGTTAGACCCAATGAAGATCGTCTCTCTGCACATTTTTTTGGTTGTATTTGTCCCTATTTAATATTTAATGTTTTCAAGATGAGTTTATATTTAAACTAATTTTTAATAGCATATATGAATAAAAGTGTATATTGACCTTGTATTATCCAATCTCTCCCAACTCTATTAGTTCTAGTAGGTTTTTTTTGTTTTTTTGTTTTTTGTTTGTTTGTTTGTTTGTTTTTGTATATTCATTTGGATTTTCTACACAGATGACCATGTGGTCTGTGAATAAAGGCAGTTTTACTTCTTCCTTTCAAATACAGATGTCTTTTATATCTATCTCTTGCCTATTTCACTTAGCTTGGGAGTAATGAAACTCACTGGGAAGTCACCAGATGGGATGTCTGTGGAAATGGCCTGAGAACCACATGCTGGGACACTTGGGAGATTTACTTGTATACCAACTACCTGGGATGCCAGTGGAACTTGCTGCCTGATGGGTGCCACTGAAATTCTCTAGGAATTAAGAACCACTAAGTGTCCTGCACTCTTCTGGCTGCCACATTCCACAGCAGCAAGAAGAAAGAAAAGCACACAAGCTGGAAGAGAAGCTCCTTCCTCATGCCGTGTTCCTCAGCACCGTCTGTTGACAAAGTTTAACCTCATGCCATCCAGTAAAAGAGAAATGTTTACAGGACAGAAATGTTCCAGTATTACAAAGAAGGGCAATGATGGGCATATTCTTCAATAGTTCTGCCTTTTTTGTTTGCATGTTTTTGTAGTTTTCCAGATATAGTCCTCCTTGCCCTATTGTAGAGCATCGAGTCTATTTTTCCTTGAGGAGAATGACTATGGTGCAATTGGAGTCACCGCCTGATTATGTTTACAATAACACACAGTCATTTACCACAACCCACCTGACTTCTTCACAGGTCAGACAGGTGAGTTAAATAGGGATATATAGGAGGTATAACCATTTTTGCTTCTTTTAATCTCTTTAATTCCCCTAGGAATAAAGTATTGCTTCTTTCTTACTATCTTGTTAAGAAAATTTAGGGCTTCCACTTTTCTACCATAATAAAGCTCTCCCATGGGTCAGAGAGCTAATGTGTGAATACTGTCACTTGTCAAGTATACATTCAGGAAATGAGAAAATTCATTGATCTCTTGGGCCCACTGTGAGCCAGATATGAGCTAAGATTGCATTTGTCAACCGAATACTCTAAGCACGTGTGCAATAAAGAATTAATGTAGCAGGCCTGTTAGCTTTTGAAAACTTTGCTTAAAATGTTGTCCCTTGGCTGGCAGCTGGTAACTCAGATTTTGAGAGGGTTTCCATTATCCTATCTTGTAAGAGTGACTTACTGAGCCTACACTGTTTGTACAGACTTTGTGGTTAAGGATGGACGCCTGCTTTCCTTCAAGGACACCAGAGTTTTGATAGGTGCTAAGTAGAGATGGGACTATATAACCAGCCCACAATAAAAACCCCTGCACTAAGTCTCTAGCAAGCTTCTCTGGTAGACAATGTTTCACACATGTTGTCACAACTCATTGCTGGAGGAATGAATCACTTCCTATGTGACTTCATTGGGAGAAGACTCTTGGAATCTTGTGCCTGTTTTCCTTAAGCCTTCAACCCATGGAAACCACTTTGCTGATTTTGCTTTGTGTCTTTTCCTTTAATAAATCTTAGCCACAAGTACAACTATATGTTGAGTTCTGTGAATTTTCCTAGCAAATCGTTAAATCTGGGGGTGGTCTTCGGGACTGCCAATACAGGTCTACTTTGATTAGTGTGACACAGTGGCATTTTGAGTCCTCAAGAATTAGTGTCAATTCAGAGTCAGTGTCTAGTAATCCCCAAAGATTTTTTTTTTTTTTTTTTGGTTTTTTTATAACACAGTCTAGTAAATGGCTGTAGGCTCCTTAGGGAAGAGTTTGATGAAAGAAGACTTATGAAATGTACTCACGTGAATCCTACAAGATCCATCCACAAGGCTACCTTGGTTCCCTTTCAATGAAGGGTCTTTGTAAGTTGAATTAGTAATTGAGTTACAGCCTGTGACTCTCTTGATTTGTGGCAAATCATGTCAGGGTTTTGAGTATCAGATCTAGAGTTTCTTCTGTTACATAAGTTAAGCAATCAATACTCTAGTAGGCTTTCTATCTATTTCATTCCTAGGAATACTATAGTCAATTAGCCATAGTCAAAGATCCCTGCAGGTCAAGGCACTTTAATTACTGGTACATCTCTTCTTCTGCTAACGATACATGTGCTCACCTTGTCTTTGGAGTTTGAATGCTCCCATCTGGCCTCTGATAATCTGGGAATCTCGTCCTCATTTAAATCAGGGAGCTTATCTCAATGATGGCATTCCCTACGGCCAGACCTCACCTACGAAAGAAAGCAAGCACAAACCTTTTCACGAATGCAAGTGCACCTCCCACGAACACATTTCTCAATGATTTGGTGAAGGCAGTGTCTTCTGAGCTTTCTTGTGCAATATCTTTGGGTGTTAGGCTTGCAAGTCATGCATGATAAATCCACTCTAACATTCTTATCTCCCCAAGCTTTTGGATTACCTTCTCCAGATTATGCCAGGAAAACTCTGGCATCTAAACTTTATTAAATATAAGCCACCTTGTAGTCTAAATTTCAGTCAACCAACCAGGTAAACTATTAGAGCCACCTCTAGCTGCACAAGCTAACATAGTACATCTGGAATCTCTAGCAAATGCACCCATGTCAGTGAGTTATGTCTAGTTTAGTTTTACATTTTTTTCTTCCTTTATTTAACACCCTAAGAAACCTCTCCCCCATATGTTTCTAAGGTTTCTGTTCATTATACTTTAGCAGAGTCTTTCAATTCTTTTGGTGGGTAAGCAATTTCTTCCCAGGTCGTGTGTGTATGTACCTATGCCCCGGTGCATGGTGAGATTTCACTCCAGCTATCTAGTGGCTACAGTGGGTGGTTTTGATGGGTCTTGAGGGAAATGAGCATTCCTCTTCTAGGTTATCCCAAATGAGTTAATCATAAAATGTCAAGCACAGAAACGTAGTTTCCTCAGATACAGGAGGGCAAACTAGTTCTACTGGCAAGGGAGGCTCAGTATGACTAGAGGGTTCAAGACTGTCAGTTTCACCTGGATTTAATCACATCGCCACTCTAAGTCTCAGTATCACATTCCTTTCTAAACACTGCCCTAATTTTCTCATAAGAAACTTTGCACGATTGAATTCAACAGATGTCAGAATTCAGCAAACTGCACAATTAAGTTGAGATTTTGAGCAAAATCTCAGTAAAATCTCAAATTCTTCGTGATACCGGAGTGAGAGAGGGATAAGTAACGAAACAAATTCCTGAATAAAAGAGGGGCTAGAAAACATAGTTAATACTAAGAACTTATCATGTGTTAGACACTATGTTAAGTGATTTATACACACTATTGGGTGTCAAACACCTAGTTAATTCCTTTCATTGCAGTCAGAATAAAACCCCAAAGCACTGCCATGGCCTTTCAGGTCCTGAATGATCAGCACTGCTGCCTACCTTGCTGACCTGTTTGTTCCAAGTTTCGGCCACACGTATCTTCTTTCAACACTTCTCAGCTTACATGTCACCTCTGTCCAACTGCCGTTCTAAAGTAGCTCACTCTTCATCTCATTAGTCTTCACATCAAGACCGTGTTTGCTTACACCATTTGTCACAATATTATTATCTTTTTTTACATATCACATTTATTGTGCACTCATTGTTGATCCATGAGAGTGTAACCTCAGCTCAGGCAGAGACCATCTCTGCCTTGTTCACATTGCACAGCACAAGAGAAAGTGCTCGATAAACATATGTGGAATTCTCACTACTCCAGACGTTAGCCTACGTTATTTTCCTCTTTTCTTCAAATAGGCAAACCTAAGCTTGTAGAGCCACATTAACTTATTCTGGGTCTGTCACCGCCAACTACTGACAGAGCTCTGTGGCTCTCCAAGCTGAAGTTGGCCACCACCCACTACAAACAACCCCATACCGGAGGGACAGCTCCTCAAAATTCCCTCCTGCCCTCTAATGACAGGTACGGCGGACCCTCCAACCCGAGGAAACAAAGAGCACCACCACTGTCATCACAAAACTAGCGCACGCTTAACACGCTTGGTGGCACGCCCTCTCCCCAGCCCACCAGTGACCCAAACTCGCGGCACCCGCGGGCCTCCGAGCGGCAACCCCGCGCCGCTCCCTCTGCGCAGGCGCGCGCCGCACGCTTGCGTCCGGGGCGGGGCTGGCG